TGATGTTTATGATTATGATTGTTTAAAATGGCTTTACGCAAGAAAAAGAAGAACAAGTATTTAGATTGGTCTATATTTGCTTATATAGGTTTGAATTCGAATTTTGAGTAAAGTGTACGGCTGCACTTTCAATAATATATTTCAAAAGCATGTACTACAGCATATCATCATTAATGAAAACATGTCAGTTTTGTCACCGGAATTAATAAACTATTCCATATCTGTGAAATCGGAAAAAAATCGGTGCTTAAGTATGTGTTTTACCGTCCGATTAACCGTGATAACGATTATTAAAGAGAAACGTAAATCAGAATCCGATCGCTGACTTGTGACTATCAGGTTAGAACGAGTCAGGGTTCTTTGTATTTACGCTTTGAGCCAAGTATATGCACTTCTAAAATCTTCTAAACATTTTTTTGTTCATTTTCTGTTTTTCTTTGATTAGCAAGCTTATTATAGGTGATCATAGTTGTTTTTAAAAGAAAAGTGTGCTTGAACTTCAGTTGCGCTGGATTGTATATCATTAACGATAAGAGTGTTCTTTTTAACCATTTCAATAGTGTTTACTTTATTCTGTTCTTATGGGCACCTTTAATTTATGGCACAGGTGCTATGCGAATAATGTCATCGCGAATATCAACTTAATGAAATAAACAGAAATAAGAAATAAACTATATATTATTGAAAAAACACTTACAACAACACCCAGTTTCTCCATTTCATCATGTAGTTGTTGTATTGTTATTTCTTTTGGTCTTGACGATATCTGAGTACTACGTTGAAAAGGATCAGTTGTCGTTAAATTTGCGAGTGTGCCTGAAAATAAGAAAATGAAGCGCAAATTGATAGAATCTATTCGTATATTTACCTGAACATTGTTTCGCAATTACATATTGCAAATATTGCGTTAATATCAGCGGTTCGGAACGTAGCTGATAAAGTCTAATTGCTTCAGAAATGTGAATAAGAATAATTGTTGTTATATAGCTGAAGGTTAGACTTGTTATATATCGTCTCATTGTAGTCTATTGTTACCTCCATATCGAATGCCAATTGGGCGCATTGATGCAGCGATGGGTTGCTTATACGATAACTATTAACACCAGTATCATGATCAATATCTATAGAAAAAGATAAAAATTATGAAAAAGAAGTACAGTTGAAACATTATTATCGTCTTTATGTACAACATTGTACTTTATAAGTACAAAATATCTGGCTACACATAGAACGATTTTTACGCGAATTCAAGTGATCTAATGAACAAAGAACTGACGGCAAAGTCAACATTCTAGTCGTGTAATTTCAATGGTACATTGCCAGCTGTATGCGGCAGATCCAATCCAACAACACAATCCTGGTAGAAAATAAACAAAAGACAGTGATTTAGTTGGGTCGGATAATGACAGGCATATTTGTTCATGCGCAGCACGTGTAATTATTTCCACATGAAACAATTGTCCCGTATAACAGTGAACACTACTCAGTGTTACTAGAGCAATTGTTTTTCTATGCTTTGGTATCTCAATAATATTCTCTTTTTGAATAAACGTTTCACCCTAAAAAATCAGCAGAATTTTTTATCTTAACCCAGTCGTTATTTAATTGATATACCTCTCTGCCTTTGAATTTAATTTTGATTTATTTATTATTGGATTATAATAACCTAATTCAATCTGAGAACTGATCACATACTACACCACTGAAGAGATATGTCGTAGGAAGTTGCGACTCACGTCAACTTCCTAGCCAACGTTGAGTCCTTCTTCGCTGGAATATTCGCGGCAAAGTCACATAATATGTTTGCTATAAGACTGACAAAGTATTCGCGATTTCTCTCCGTTGTTTATGAGGCAGTGCACGATAGCACTGCATAGGAAGGGAATACTGAAAGTCACGCAAAAGAAAGTCAGTTTTTTTCAGTTCTACGTATATTGGGCATTCTCTGCGCAAATATTTATAAAATGTGATTTTCAAACTCAAGTGCGCTTCTTGAGTGTATGCCAGTGATGATTTAACGATCGTCTCCTTTCTGAATTCAGTATAGAAAGAATAAGTTCTAAAGAATTTAACACGTTCTTTACCTCTGTATGTGTACCATATAGATTCTACTATCCTGTATCCTTTACTTCCGCCGTTTTTCTGAGAATTCTAATGTCATCAGTTTTGCGTAAGTGAAATAAAAGCACGAATTGAAAGAAAACAAACATAAAGTCATAAAATAAACACCTCATTGTTAATTTCCAATTGATTTTCTTTCACGTATGTATTTATATATTTTGCATGATTCAAAAAATTGTACAAGAAAAACTTCTGGTGTCACAATAAACAACTGTACGTGTTAGTATTGCATATCAAATATTTTATTGTCTATTTCGGATGACGAGAGTCTTGTAAGAAAAGTACAATATTAGTGCTGAAGCGAAATTGTTGAATATTTAATTTTCGAAGAAAAGTATCGAGCGATTTTCCAAACAATGATTTTTGAACCAAGTGAACCATTTCATTTTTCATCCATTCAAGCCATGAAGTCTGTTGGTTTAAATCACTTAGTTAATGATGATCATCTCGTTCAATCAAAACGTGATCGTAACACATTTTTACCGTTCATATGGAATTTGAAACGGTTAGCAGCTGTTATTAGCGAAGTGGCTCATTCGAAAGGGTTCAGTCAAAATGAAATTATTGAATTATTGAATATTTTAACAACACAATATATTGAAACATTATCCAAGCCAAAAGCAACGCCAAAATTAATGTTGACTCATAGATTAGATAATTCGACATTAAAACAAAATATGAGACGCTCATCAATACACGGCTGTTTGAATATGAACCAAACAAACAATTATAAACATATTAACTGGACTGCAATCCCTAATTATTCTATGATGACTGAAATTGTTCGACAATTAGCTATATCACGCGCTGAGTTATCATCACAGATAACACTATTGAATAAAAGACAAAGAGGAATGGTTTTGTGCATGGAAACTCCACAGATAGAATATCAGTTTATTAATGATAAAATAAACTATGCTGATTCAAAAGAAGGTTTGATGCTTACTAATGATTGTGATAGAAAGATTCTCACTAATGCATTACTGTCGTCGCAAATTGATGACTCAGAGCCTCTTCAAATACCGTTGATGATCGTAGGTGGAGGAATCGGTGGCTTGGCCACGGCTCTCTGTTTTGCTCGTGCAGGTAAACGAGTTCATCTTCTGGAAAAACAGCCCGAATTCGTCGAAGTTGGAGCCGGAATGCAATTAGCCCCCAATTGCAGCCGACTGTTGGATCAACTGGGAGTATTGAAAGATGTTCAACGGAACGCTGTGTTTCCTAAAGAAATTGTTTGGATGGACGCCATCTCCGGTGAAAAGTTAACAGGTTTCGATTTAGGTGAGAAATTCGTTGATACATTTGGCTATGCTTATATGGTAGTGCATCGTGGTGATTTATTGCAAGCGCTTTATCGAGCATGCTTAGACAGTTCACTTGTAACAATGGAATCATCAAAACTGATTGTGAATATTGAACAATGTTCATCATCCGTTCTCCTTTCATGTGCTGATGGTACACGCTACAATTGTGAATTGTGTGTGGGGGCTGATGGTTTATGGTCACAAACGCGAAAATTTGTTCATGATGATGGACCACCAATCAGTGTTGGCTATGTGACATATCGTGGTACCGTCCCTATCGCTCAAGTGTCTGCGAAAGCAGGTAGGGATAACGTTTTGTTTTGGGTCGGACCTGATATGCATCTGGTTCAGTATCCAATTCGTCGTGGAGAATTCTATAATCAAGCAGCGGTTTTTAAGTCGAAGCAACAACCGAATGAGACAGATGAGTGGGGTACAACGGAAGAACTGTTTCAACATTTCAGTATTGGATGTGAGGCAGTAAGAAATGCTCTTCCACTGCTGAAAACAAATTTTCGATGGCCCGTTTATGATCGTGAACCACTGACTACATGGAGTCGAGGACGTCTGGTTTTACTGGGTGATGCTGCTCATCCTATGTTACAATATGCGGCACAGGGCGCAGCTCAAGCATTAGAGGATGCTGTTGCTTTGGTATCAGCTTATATGAAATATGATTCCGACGATATTAAGGCTATATTTGAGACGTATGAAAACGAACGAATTAATCTTTCATCTAATGTCGTTCGTCTTGCACGTGAAATTGGAGAATTTGCTCATAAGAGTGGTTTCGAAAAGATAGCACGAGATTTTCTATTACGTAATCATGATGTTTATGATTATGATTGTTTAAAATGGCTTTACGCAAGAAAAAGAAGAACAAGTATTTAGATTGGTCTATATTTGCTTATATAGGTTTGAATTCGAATTTTGAGTAAAGTGTACGGCTGCACTGTCAATAATATATTTCAAAAGCATGTACTACAGCATATCATCATTAATGAAAACATGTCAGTTTTGTCACCGAATTTTTGTAAGCCAAAAATATGTGAATTTGCGTTCATTTTTCGGTTTTGGAATTCTTTTCATAGTTGTGTAGACCGTGTAAAAAATCATCGAGTATATAAGAAATATAACCTTTTAGGGGCTGTCCCGGCTCTAGAAGTGGATTCATTATAAAAGTACAGCTGTTGTGCGAGTAGCATAAAGGATTATTTTTGAAGGTATCTGCAAAAATATGTTTAAAGCGTGAAGACTGAGCAGGCGGAAATCCATCAAGTATATCAGGTTGTAGAAAAATGTCCGCTCTGCATTATGTTTTCATTTCATCTGTAGTAATTAAATAAAAACTAAGATAGCCGTAACGCTAAGACAGAAAACGGTTAAAAGTGTCATCAAATTACCGCCCATATAAACACTGCATCTCTTATAGAAGCCATCGGGATCTGTAAAATAGTGCAACATTCGCTTTTATTTCGAAAACAAGCTTTGGCGCTGAAAATGTGTCATCGCGTTACCCTCGGACAAGCTGTAGAATGAACATGCTTTTCGAGAACAAGCGGGAAAGGACAATTAGCTTAGTCTTTTCATATATAAATCTTGTAAATGTTTTATTTTAGCCAGTTTCAAGCTGTTGTCGGAAAGGAATCGAAAGACGTTGTTGTTGCATATATTCTGGAGTCCGCCCGATGGAAAATTCAGCGTCTAAAAAATGGAGCGTAAAAAGAAACATTCTGTAGACTTTTTCATCCTATGTAGTCCATTTCACGGTCTACCCGTTAATGCAATCAGATCATTTTTGACACATAACTAATGCCCAAGGTTGTTATATAACTTTGCTAGCGCCAAATTCGAGCACAGTACATTTGAAGTACGGGACGAGCAGTATAACCGTCAAGCCATGCTGCCGATCAGTTTTAGTAATAACATTAAATACGCTCGTCTTTTGTTATGTAAGAGTTTCTTTATTGCTAAATTTATCCAGATATCGATGCCCTTTGTATTCTCAAGAAGTGCAAGTGTAAAAGACAACATTGAAATTCGTAGAATAACGACCACCATTATAAGTAGTAAAGTGAGATGAATGAACTCTCACCTATCTTCTGTACATGTGCAACGTTTAATTAAACAGATGCGAAAGTGGAATGAACACATTTCCAACAATATGTAGGAACAGTGGGCGGTTGTGGAAACAGTAGACAAAAGAGGAGTAAATTACGGTTGAATATCACTTCATAATTATCCATAAGAGTTTTTGTGATTTATCTGCTGACCAAACACCTCAACAGTGTCTTCACGGAAAATGTGATCAATGGGCACTGAATATTTGAAAAGAGGAGCATTATTAATCGGAAGTAATGTATTTTATTTTATTTCATTTCAGATTTGTGCATCTGTTGGCGCATCTTAAAGACATGAAAAGTGATATAATGAATTACAGACAATGATGAAGCAGCTTGAAAATGCCATTAAAAAACGTTTTTGTAGCACCACTAAGAGGTTCACGCACAAGTCGCATTCTCATGATAAGTCATTTTGNCTAGATTCGTATTTTACATTATTCTGACTTCAACAGATGAAATAAATAAGAATTTAGGATATTTAAATATGCATTAAAGTAAGATTGATGATAATTATATAAAAATTATTATTACGGGACTAAAATACAATACAATATCGATTTCAATTAATCTTGAAGATCATAACATCGGTAAAGTCGACATTCAGTATTTAGCTGACATGTTAAAATTAAACAAAACATTAACGCATTTAAATTTAAATTCAAATATATTTGATAATCATGCCTTTGTATTGCTTTGTAATGAATTAGTTATAAATATTTAAATTTAGGAGCAGGATCAGAGAATGTGATTACGGTTCTTCACGCAACTCCACACTTCAATAGCCATTCATTTTCACTGCATCATAATGAGTACTGAAATGCTTATTATCCATCCAGTGTCTGAAATTAATTGTGAAATGCATGTATCATAGATTATAACTCTACTACCGTAAACATAACATAACACAAATAAAACGTATCGTCAGTATTTTGAAACCAAAAACTTCATCTTGTACCGTGCTTAAAGTTTATCTAAAAACAAATTAAGTTTTATAGTCTGAATTATGGATGACAAAAGACCTTCAAATGTTTTTCAAATAGTTAA